GGAGAAAAAACTAGGAAGCTTCAGCCATGAAGTCTTGCAAGGTAGCTGCTAGGAGCCTGAGGGGGATAAAGGGGGAAAGCCATGGTGACCCATTAACAACCTGCACTGCATAGCTTATTCACAGGGTAGGTTGTTGTGTTGTGTGAACTTTCCCGATGTCATTGCCTAGATGCCGAGTAAAAACTGAGTGAATAAAAACTGGTCATTCCCGAGGCTTGAATAGTTTCTCCTCTTTATTCCTTGGCCAAGCAATAAGGTCTTAAAAACTACATTATGACAACAATTATCTATACTGAAGGTTTAAGAACATAAGAAAAGCCATGCTGGATTGGGCCCAGGGTCCCTCTGGATCAGCATTCCGTTCGTGTAGCGGCCAACCCGCTCAAGAGAACTTCATGAGCAGGATACGAGGGCAACATTGACCTCCTGCCCAAGTTCCCCAGCAACTGGTATGCTCAGGCACACCACCTCTGATCCCTGTCTCAATTCCCATTTTAGATATTATTTTATAAAATGCCATTCTTTGAATGATTTACTAAAAGCTGAATATCAGAAATCCATTACATGCCCTTTTTTAAAAAAAAAGAGATATAGGAATCATTATCAGTCTGCTTATCTACTTGGGGTAATTACTCACATGCCTTTTAGACATAATTCCCCACATGAGAAGAACCCATGCTGTTGTGATCTGTGTCACAATCATGGAAACATCCAGGCATGGGAGATCATATAATGACATCTAAGTACAGTCCTAAGCCATGTGGGATCTTTTAACAGAAAAGCAGCTCTCACAGACCTAGATGATATCTAAAGGCATCCATGGGCTGACTCATTCTTACTGAAAATTGCTGTGCTGGGTTCGAATAAGAGATCCACTATTCTCCGTGACTCTAATCACTTCTCTAATCAGAGAAGTCCAGAAGCAAGGTAAAGTGACAATATTCATTCCCTCTTAGTCCAAGATATTGAATTAAAAAAAAACAGAACAAAACAAAACCAGCAATGGTACAGCTTTTTAGGTAAATTCACAAAGATTATGGTCCTAGGTACACATCCGTGCACAGATATCTGTCTATCATTTGTTCATCCTTAAAGCAATCATACTACTTTTTCAGTTTAAACCCCCACCCCTTTATTTCATTTATATCTTGCCTTTCTTCCATGATGGAACTTGTGATTTACACAGATTCCCTAGACAGTTTCCTATCTAGGCACAGTAACACCCAGATCCACTTAGCTTCAGAAAGTTACGTTATCTTTCACATCATACCTTGGGAATAACACTTCTGGTTATTATGTCTACTAGCTGTAGCCCTGGAGTCCCATCTGTAATAGGTGAGATCCTCAGAACAGTCCTTGCAGCACTATAACAGGAAGCTTTGGATAACAGATAATGGGGCTTTTCTGAACTGGCAACTGACACTGTGCCCATCAACAATTTTGCTCATAACTGAACTAAGAAAGATTACACTCAGTCTTGCCCCATAATCAGTACTTTGCAACTGCAGAAATTCCACTTTTATGCTATACATAACCATGCTTTCAAACAACCAAGAATTGACTGTGGTATTTTCTAGACTTGTGAAGTCCAATACTGTCTAAAAGTCAATGTAATGTTTACCACTCCCACACAACATTCATGTGCATGTTCATACAGACACACACACTTTTCAACAGCTGGGCATTCACATCATTATGAGGCAATAACTTCCTTGATTTAATTACACATTATGTGCTTTTCTTTAGGAAGCTCCCTTATAGCAGACAAGGTTGTGAAGAAATTCAGTTTCCATGGAATGTACGTTACTCTGGTATGAAGAATATATCTTTACCCTACCTTACTCTAGCTATGCAAATTACACAAGCCAAAATAATGGGTAAACATTCCAGACTGGATGAAAGTACCTTTAGGGAAAAGCCAGCATTGAATGAGAATAATTCTTCCTTGGCTGCTGAAAGCTGTTCTTGGAATCTAACTGGCATCCACAGTTTAGCCAGCAAGAGTATTTCCAGAACATACAAACTGAACATAAAATACAGTTCTTAATCAAGAATGGATTTTTTTTTAAATGTAAGATCGCTATAAAGTTCAGCCCAACAATGATATCTGCTTCATATTCCAGTGTTAACTGCATTGCTCAGAACTGGACATAAGAGTCAGATAAAAACAGGTTGAGAATATCTGTTGAGGCAACATCCCTGCACAGCAGAGAAATCTCTAGAGCTAACAGCTATTAAAGGATATTTTATTGCAACTGGTTACTGAAGTGGAGCTACAACTATCCAGTAACTTGAAACTAGGTGAACATGTGCTAAAGAGCCTCACAAATATTTATAAATCCTGTAGTTTAAAAGGGTAGATTTGATTATTTTGGTGATATATTCAGGTTTCATCTGAAGCATAATGAACACAAGCAGACAAAATGGTTTACTTAGCAATTTAATAACCAGATGACTGACAACACTTGAAATATGTTAGTTATATCACAGCAATAGGAGTGTTACTATAAAAGCTGCTGTATCCCATGGAGGCCGGTTCAGCTATCCTGCTGCTTCTCCCAGCTGTACTCCCTGTGTGTCTAGATTTGAAATGAGCTCCATTTGTAGGAAAGAATAACTTGGCTAACATGGCTCAAGTAATCTTATTAGGAAAACCATCCCCTTTTGTTGCACATTTACTTGTTGACTTCAACAAAAAGTGTGTAATAGCTTTACTATACTGCAGCTCCCTCTGCAAGCCTAAACCAAGTACTATAATTTCATATAAAGGTAATAAAATTAATGAAAGCAAATGTTTTCTGTGCAGTGAATCCCCTAGCAACAACAAACAAAACATTATGGCAATAATTTATCACCACACTGCATAAAAAAGTGAAAAACATACTTCTTTGGGATTCAACATTAATATAGGTAAGTTTCCAATCTTTCATGTACTGCAAGAGAGAAACAGGGCCAACGTCTAGAATCCCCTCCAGGCTCCGAGAATTAAGAACATTAGCACAGTAAAAGTAGAGCACAGTGGCTTCAGAAGCCCTTGAAGTTCTTTTCACTTTTGAAATAAGGGCTTTTTTCCCCCCAAGTGACAAAACTTAGGGAGTAAAACCTTCAGAAGTAGTCCAATTATTTTAAACACACACACACCCCATAACCTCTGCCTGATACTGTTTATGTGCATCCTTTAAGAAAGATCAGCAATTTTTTGAAGACAGCAACAACTGAAAAGCCACAGTGAAAAGAAATCAAGCCGGACCTTTGCATATCCTTGTTCTTCCGGGCTATATCCAAATCCCAGAAGGCAGAAAACCATATCAAGTGAATGCAGACCTCTTCCTTATTCAGAATGCAGTGGTTTCCTACGAGATATTCCCAACCTACACCTTACAGCCTCTCCTACTAAAAAGATAAGTAAATGGGATAGAATGCAATGTCATGGGTCAAAGAGCATCAGTGCTTCAAAGCACTCAGACTGCTGTACCAGTGCAGCAAGTCAGGACAATTCTGAACTGTGTATACATACATTTTGAATGTGAGGCTTTAAGTTTAAAATAGAAACACATAACGGAACATAAACATGCTATGTGGGCAGAGGGTTTGCATGGCAACACTATGGACAATCTTATTCATTCCAACAGGATCCAATGGGCCCAGCAAACATGAAACCATCAGATGTTGTTGCACAGGGAAGCCAAACAGGAATAAGATACTGGCCATCCTGCATGAAGGAACGCACAGGCACAGCAGCACTTCTTGCAAGTACTTATAGTATTCATTGCCGAGACCAAACAATGCTGCTTACATTCTGCTTTTGAAGAAGATGGAAATCTACAGGTTCAGCAGTCTCTTTCAGCTCCTATTTGGCTAGCCTAAGCTGTTCTCTGCACATTGGCATTCTGCACCCAACATAAAAGAAGGTCAACAGAGAAACATTTTCCAGTTTCTCAATATTTCTAATCACTGGAGCACAAAACCACCTGATATGCTTAACAAAATGACTCAGCATTACCTGAAAGATAGATTATGCACTTCTAATGTGTCTGTTGATGAGCAATTGATGTTGGGCAATGGTTGATGGACCACATCTAGTATTACAATTTTACATACTGGATGTAAGTAAATTTGCATAATGAAAATTGTAACACTGGATAATCTTTGCTAATTAAAAATAGGTTTATGCTGCCCTATAACCATGTATTCAGGGTTGATTACAATGAATATAAAAATGAATACTTTTTAAAGCATATGAACCCCATAGTGCAGGATTGGGACTCAGACAATCCGGGTTCTAGTCCCTGCTCAGCCATGGTCCCAACTGGGTGACTTTGGGTCGGTCAGTCACAGACTCTCAGCCCAACCTACCTCACAGGGTAGTTGTTGTGGTGATAGACTGAAAGCAGGAGGAAGAGAATGACATAAGCTGCTTTGAGTTCTTTGCAAGAAAAAATATAGGATATAAACCTAATAAAAAAATAAAGGCTAGATCCCAAATAAAACAAAATTAAAGGAATAACAAATTTAAATGCATAAGAAAGTAAAACAGATACCCACAGCACCTCAGCTGGTAGAAACTCTTGGAAAAGAGTATTTCAACAAGTTCTTATGATCTGGATACCTTCAGGTACCCTGGTCTTAACCTGCAAATAGCCTTAAATGACAAAAATAGGTCCAGAAATGGACTGAGAGCCAGTGTCATCAGCAAAGCAGCAGTGTGATATGTTCATACCACCTGATGTCAGAGAGTCACCCTGGGGCTATGTTCTGAAGTAAATGAAGTTTCTGGACTGTCATCAAAGGCACCCCTACACACAGTGCAACATAATAAACACAGGGTTACTAGGGCATGGATAAGGTCCAGGTAAGGTAACAGCCTAAGCTGCTTAAGAAATGACCTTCATGACATGGTAGTAACTTTCATTTCTAGTGTGAAAGACAGATCAAGAAGCACCCCAAAACTTAAGTCCCTGATCCTTTTGGCAAAGTGCAACAGGTCGACTTCCACTCACCTGGGCAGTGGGGCAATTACTAACGATATTTCTATTGCCTGGATTAAAGGTCAGCTTGTGGGCCATCCTCCAGTCCATTACTGTGCCCAGGCTTTGATTCTGTAGTCCCACTGCCTCACCTGAGGTACGAAAAAAGGACAAGTAGAGTTGCAAATCATCCACACATTTATATAACTTCAAATCTTTGGATGGCCGCACTGAGTTTCAGGTAGATAGACTATGTGGGATAAAATATATCTTTGCAGGATTCTAAAGCCCAGTCTTGGAGATTCAAGCAGCATTTCTGAGCACCATCTTCTGGAATTTTCCATCCAAATAATAGAGCCTACTATTATCTAATGCCACTACCTGTAATTCAGGTAGCTTTATGCAGAATTTTATCATGGTAGACAATACTGAAAGATGCGGAAAGGGAAAGGTCCAAGAGGATCAACTGAGTCATGTACCTTTCTTCAAGCAAAAGTAATTCCACAAGGTAACCAAGGCAATTTCTCTACAAAACCCACATTTGTAATCTGATTGAATCAGATGTAGAAAACACTCTTATCTAGGAATTCCTGGAGATGATCAACAACCGCCTATTCCAGCAACTCACCCAGGAGAGAAACAACAACCACCAATAATTATTTGTTTAGATCTTCTATGCCCAAGGCACATTTCTTCAGTAGCACTCATGTCTCACCCTCCTTTAAAGCAGATGAGACTACTGGCTCCTATCTGAGGCAACTGCTATCTCCTGAACTTGTTACTCCCTCCTTGTTAGATGTAAGCCAAGCAAGTTAAAATAGACAAGAGTTGAGCAAACAGGTAGCTGGCTGGGCTTGGCAAGCGTCTTGTCCACATTCTCAAAAACTGAACTGGACCAGAGGGTGCCCTGGATGACTGACATATATCAAATGTGTTACTCCAGTTTGCTGTAGATGTATGTGAGATCTTACAAGACGACACAGCTATAATGAAAATGTGAAATGCTGCCTGCCAGTCTCCTACCTGATCCTTGAACAGACGCAGGACTGAATCTTTCCAGCATTACTGCCCTTGTTGCCAGCTTAACAACTACATGCACTGTCATAAACAAACATGGTACTATGAGATGATCCATATTATTTTTGACTATCTTGTATCCTATGGTCAATGAAGCCTACTGTCTCTTCAAGGATTTACATAGTATTTTTCTATTATGCTTTGATACTTGTGATCAGCTAAACCAGATCCATTCTTCTTTATTATGTTACCGAAGAACCGCAACAATGAAATGTTTTGGGTTTTTTTGCATTAGAAGCAATTAGTGTGATTAATAGATATAGCACACTTTTTTTACTTAATCACATTTTATGGTTCTTGCCAGTGTGATGCAGAGCTTAAAATGCTGGACTGGGACCTGGGAGATCCAGGTTCTACTCTCCACTGAGTCATGAAGCTCACTGGGTGACCAGGCCAATCAGTAACTCTCAGGTTAACCTACCTCACAGGAGAGTTGTCAGGGTAAAATGTAAAGGAGATTGTGTATGCTGCCTTCGTTTTTTTGGAGGAAAGGGGAGATTTAAATGTAACAAATAAGTGCATAAATGGTGCTCTGGAAGAGGGAGTATTAACATTAACCCCCTTGTCGTGGTCAGATCACTTCCTACTGAGGTTTAGACTTTTGGCTCCCTTTTGCCTCAGCAAGGGTGGGGGGCCTTTTAAAATGGTCCACCCCCAGAGGTTCATGGATCCTAGTGGTTTACGAACAGTTCTGGGGGAGTGTCTGGCTGGCATGGCTGATGCTCCTGTCAAAGCCCAGGCTGCTCTGTAGAATGCACAGACGACTCAGGCAGTTGACAGGTCTGCTCCCAAGCACTTTCTTCCCTCCAGCAGAGCCTGGCCGGCTCCTGAGTTAAGGGCAATGAAGCAAGAGGGGAAACAGCTAGAGTGTCAGTGCAGGAAAGCTTGTGCTGAGTCAGATCGCACACAGATTAGAGCTTATTGCTGAGCCTACGCTGCGGTGGTGAGGGTCACAAAGCAGCAGCTCCTTTCCACCAGCATGACATCCTCTCAGTGCTGTCCAGCAGAGTTTTTCCAAATAGTTCACGGCATATTATACTCCGGAAAAGAAAAATAAATTGTGGGGGCCTCAGTAGCTTGCTGCAATGAATTTGCACAGCATTTTGAAGACAAAGTTGCTTGGATTCATGATGAATTGGACATCACAACACAGTTCCACCACCAGAGGCATCCAGAACACTGTCTGGTCCAGTTTTATTGGATGAGCTTCAGTTATTGAGGCTCAAGGATGTGGACAAGATGCTTGGTAAAGTCTGGCCAGCCACTTGTATGCTTGACCCTTGCCCATCATGGCTCATTACAAGACTTAAGGAAGGGATTTCTACTTGGATCAAGAAGGCTGCAAGTGCCTTCTTGAGGGAGAGAATGGCAGCAGCCTCTCTAAAAGAGGATGTAATTAAGCCACTTCTGAAAAAGCATAACCAGGACCCAGAGGATGTTAATAACAACATCTGCTTCCCAGGCAAGATGCTTGAGCAGGTAGTGGCTGAACAGCTCCTGGCACTCTTAAATGAAATGGATTATCTAGACCCATTTCAATCAGACTTCAGACCTGGTTTTGGAATTGGCTGCCAAGTGGGAAGAGCTGTGTGGGGAGAAAGAGGAGGGAAATGCAACCTTGTCCATTCTCTTGGACCTCTCAGTAGCTTTCAGTACCATCAGCCATGGTAATCTTCTGAATAAGCTGGCAGGGCTAGAAGTAGGAAGCACTCGATTACAGTGGTTCTGCTCCTATTTGACAGGCCAAATCCAGAAGGTGGTGCTGGGGGATTATTTCTCTGTGCCATGGCAGTTATACCATGGAGTACAGCAGGATCTTATTTTTTCTCCTATGCTGTTTAATATCTACATGAAACCGCAGGAGGAGGTTATCCAGATGTATGGGTTGAGGTACCAACAATAAGTGGATGACATTCAGCTCTGCTTCTGTGTTTCATTAAACCAAGGTGAGGCAGTAGTTGCTCTGAATGTCTGAGCCTGGTAACGAGGGCCAACAAACTGAGACTCAATTCAGGCAAGACCAAGCTGCTTTTAGTGGGCAGTTTGTCCATTTGGGTGATATTCAACCAGTTCTGGAGGGGGCTGTCTTCCCCCTATAGGACAAGGTTCATAGTTTGGGGGTGCTCCTGGCCCAGAATCGTCACTTAAGGCACAAGTAGACTTTGTGGCATGGAACAAATTTTATCAGTTCAAGCTGATATACCAACTATGAACTTATCTGGCAAGGAGAACTTAGCTACAGTTCTCCATGCTCTGGTAACCTCTCATTTGGAATACAGCAATGCACTGCACATGGGGCTGCCTTTGAAAGTGGTCCAGAAACATCAACTGATCCATAACAGGGCAGCAAGACTGTTAATGGGGACTTGCTCACGAGAACATATTACAGCAGTGTTCTTCCAGCTCCCCAGCTGCCAGCTGAAGTCCTGGCCCAATTCAAAGTGCTAATACTAATGTTCAAAGCCCTAAAGCAGTTTAGATCAGGTTATCTGAAGGATCGCCTCATCTCATATGTACCAACTAGAACACAGAAGTCATCTTCAGGGATCATTCTCTGGGAGCCCTGCCTAAAGGAAGTGGGGCAGGTGACTGCCAGGAGGAGGGCCTTTTCAGTTGTGGCACCCCAGTTGTGGAATGAACTCCCCAGAGAGATGCATCTGGTACCTATGTATTTTTTCTTTTTTTCCTTTGGCACCAGGTGAAGACCATTTTATTCTCCCAGCATTTTAACAGTTAAACTTTTAAACTTTCTTTTTAATTGCATTTTCTTCTGTGCCACTGCTATGCTTCTATGCTAATTCAATTGCACTTGCTATTGTGGTTTCGGAGTTTTAAGATTTTTTTTGTATTTGTTTTTCCTAAGTTTTGTTTACTGCCTGGAGAGCCTTTGCTATTGGGCAACATATAGATAAACAAATAAACAAGTTTGTTAGCTGCACTGAACAAAGGAATGGCAAGAATAAAAGTGTTAAATAATTTTTAAAAATATCAGCATAAGGCAAAATATAGTAGGTGCTTTCAGACTGAATTAAGGCTACTACTACAAAAATACTGCTTTGCAGAGATTCAAAAAGCAAAAATGAATGTAAATAGTTCTGCCTACTGGATTACATTGTAACATGCTAGGATAATCTCAGAAAATGTTATCTAATTCCAGCTTTGATGTTCCTGATCAAACTGTACCATGTGTCCTGAGTAATCCAACTATGGAATATATTTAGGAAGGCTATTTTGGCAGAGTATTACTATCCATTTAGGTAGCACAGAGTTTTGACTATAGACTTATCTAAATTACCAACTCCCTTCCACTAAAAACCATTATGTTGTTAAAAACAAAACTAAAATGCCGTCAGAAATCACACCTATGGCCTATGCTTGGTTTTAACCAAGCAAGGTTCCTGAAATCAATGGAACTAGCATGCTCACAAACTGATACAGGCTTCATTCATTCATTCATTCATTCATTCAAAATATTTCTAGGTTGCCTTTCAGGACAGAGCTTTTCCAAGGCAGCTTACACCAATAAAATACAATTCCATCAAAACAATGGTCTAAAAGCAAGAAACAGACACGCTTTATCAGGGGACAGCCAGAGTAAACAAGGAGGTTTTCAGACCCTTCCTAAAAGCCTTGATGATGGTGCTTTTCAGAGGAGTGGGGCCACTGGGGAAAAGGCCCTTTAATCACTTCATGGTCATGATGGTTATGCTTAGTATCATAAAATAAGGCACATCTCCCAGGCATTTAATAATGCATTGCCTTTGTAAAAGGTTTTCTCATATTTTCCTTATATAATATGTCACCAAGGATGATTTAACATTAGGAATAGTCTTTTTTAATTGTCCTGCATGAGGATGGACAGAAATGTCAGGTATTCACAGAAATTACTGATATTAAAAGAAAACTTCTTCGTTCTCTGTGCCAAGGAATCCATTAGACAGGCTAAAAAGGTATCCAATGCTCTTTAATCATTGGATTTGTAATTTCACTGTACATTGCTGTTGTCCCATATTGAAACTGGGGGGAAAGGGATGGACCAAACCATTTTTAATTTGGAACCACAAGTGATATCCCT